CTTATAAACCAAAAGTTTTTGCTTCATACTTTTTTTTTTTGTTTAAAGAGACAGAGTTTCACTTTGTCGCCCTCAGTAGAGTGCAGTGGTGTCACAGCTCACAGCAACCTCCAACTCCTGGGCTTAGCTGATTCTCCTGCCTCAGCCTCCTGAGTAGCTGGGACCACAGGCGCCCATCACAATGCCTGGCTGTTTTCTGTTGCAGTTTGGCGGGGGCTGGGTTTGAACCCGCCACCCTTGGTATATGGGGCTGGCACCCTACTCACTGAGCCACAGGCACTGCCCCCTGCTTCATACTTTTCAAGGATGTTTATAGTATAGTACAGTAGAGGGCAGATTTGTTTAGAACAGACTTATTTACTGTACAATATAATAAAGATAATGCCCCTCTCTGAGGCAAAGGTGAGGCAGGTTTGCTTATAGCCCATTATGAAAGATTTGGGTTCCCTGGGGAGGCACCTGTGGCTCAGTAAGTAGGGCGCTGACCCCATATACCAAGGGTGGTGGGTTCAAACCTGGCCCCAGCCAAACTGCAACAAAAAAACAGTCGGGCGTTGTGGCAGGTGCCTGTGGTCCCAGCTACTGGGGAAGCTGAGGCAAGAGAATTGCCTAAGCCTAGGAGATGGAGGTTACTATGAGCTGTGTGACACCATACACTCTACCGAGGGCAATAAAGTAAGACTCTGTCTCTAAAAAAAAAAGATTTGAGTTTCCTAAGCTGGATATTCTTCAACTGTGGTATCAGTCAGTCATTGTACAGCATTTGTTTAGGCCGTTCTACATCAGCCCTGTGGGATTTTAGAGGAAGGTAAAACTGGTACAAATATAAAACTTATACTACTTGTTATGCTGACAGTAATAAAAGCCTTTCCTTCTGACTCAGAAGTATTATATCTACTACCAGCATCCATGATACCATGGCAGGATAATGTTGGCTTCCAACGAGGGTAAAATCTCAGATCCTTCACAGTTCTTGCCAGTTTTTTGATAATGAGAATAGGATGCTGAAAAAAGGTAAGGCTGTCTGGAAGAGAAAGGATAAGGTATCACAGAGCAATTAACAGGATGTGAGGGAAGTCCCACTAGAACTGATGGTAAACACGTTGAGCAAACAAGGCAATAGTCCATTTTTTTTTTTTTTTAAAGACAGAGCCTCAAGCTATCCCCCTGGGTACCTGGGTAGAGTGCCGTGGCATCACAGCTCACAGCAACCTCCAAATCCTGGGCTCAAGAGTCTCCTGCCTCAGCCTCCCAAGTAGCTGGGACCACAGGCACCCGCCACACGCCGGGCTTTTTGGTTGCAGCCATCATTGTTGTTTTTGGCGGGCCCAGGCTGGATTTGAACCACCACCTTAGGTGTATGTGGCTGGCGCCTTAGCCACCTGAGCCACAGGCACTGAGCCCATTACTTTCTTATCTATTGTTATAGGTCGTGCTGCATCTCCTCTGCTGCCCCACAACCCCCAGCAAAGATATGCTAAAATTTCAGCCACTAATACCTGTGGATGTGACCTGATTTGGAAACAGTCTTTGCATATAATTAAGATGCAGTCATCATTAAGGTGGGCATTAATGCAATACAACTGGTATCTCAACAAGGATGAAATCCAGACACAGAGAGGAGAAAGCCAAAGAGAGACAGAGGGAAGATGGCAATGTGAGGACAGAAGCAGAGACTGAAGTTCTGCTATCATAAGGCAAGGAATACCCTGACCTACCAGAAGCTAAAAAGTGGCCAGAAGAATCCTCCCTTAGAGTCTCTGAAGTGATCATGGCCCTATGAACATTCTGATTTCAGACTTCTAGCCCCCCAAACTGAGAGATAATACATTTTCTGTCATTTTAAGCCACTTAGTGGTAATTTATTATGGTAGCCCCAACAAAAACATCTACTAATGAAAAAAATAAAAAAAACTGGGAAGGTAGTTCCAGGGGATGAACAAGTTCAAGCACCAGTAACTGGAATGGCACCCTGGTTACTGTGAACTCTGCTGTGGGGGAAGGGAAACATTCCTACTAATCTGATAGGTAGGCAGACGAAAATCTGCTCCATGGTAGGAACTATACTAAGACTAAATGGGAATGGGAAGCTGGGCAGAAAGGTTCTGCCTTCTTAGACAAGTTACAATCACAGGCACCTACAATGAGTATGAAAAGGAAATGTGCAATTGCTATGAAGAGAAACCAGGTGAGTTATTAGAACTTTGGGTCTGTAAAATGGTACACATCTGTAATCCTAGCGCTTTGGGAAGCCAAGAAGGGAGGACTGCCTGAGGCCAGGAGTTCCAGACCAGCATGGGCAACAGACCCTGTCTCTACAAACAAAATTAGCTGGATGTGGTAGTGAATGCCTGGAGGCCTGTAGTCATACTATGTGGGATGCTGAGGTGAGAAAGATCTCTTGAGGCCAGGAGTTCAAGGTTACAGTGAGCTAGATCACACAACTGCACTCCTGGCTGGGCAACACAGCAAGAC